ATCAACACCAGATAAAAGAATAAAGGTGTTAAAGGGATCGGTTATACCCTATAGGGAAGATAACCATCAATTTTTCTTTACTTTTGGACTATAGGAAATTGTGGTGCAAGTTTGACAATTTCATAAATTTCCTTGGTCTTGACCTCAGGGTCAAGATTCCTTATTGATGATGTAACAAAATACAAGAAGCATATTTGAGACATGGGCAAATATGAGAAAATAAATACACAAGATAAAATGGACAACAAAGAATAAATCTCACTAAAAGGTGTATTAGTCAAGACAAATACATGTTGAATGTGAGTTAACCATGATGGAAGGCTAGGTTTAGATAAGTGAATGTAAGGGTAATAAAAGAGTTTCAAAACGATGATAGATTTCTTTATTGGTTTGGGACAAAGTATCTCATAGCCTGATCTTAAGTCTCTAATCCATTTTGTGTTAGAAAAGTAGGTTGAGATCAAGAGGGGGGTGAATTGATCTTGAAATATTTTCGCACTTTACAGATTATCTATTTCAAAGATTAAGTATTCTGACCAATTCTTGAATCAAACACAGCAAACAATCAAAGTAAAGGCAGTGACAAAATTAAAGAGAGAAAGGTTTAGAAAGATACAACCAAGATTTATACTGGTTCACTCAATCCCAGTGCTACGTCCAGTTTTCAGCCAAATTTTAGCTGGGTTCCACTAGATTGAACGTTTTACAGATTACAACTTCAATCACACACTCAATCTACCACAAGAACCAAAATTTTAGTCCTTGCACCTAAACCTTCACCAGGAACCAATTTCCAGTTCTTGAACAACCCTCCAGCCAAACTCCAGTCACAGAAACCAGTGCCCACACTTCTAGGCACACATAATACAGAAAAGAAAAGTAAAGAAACAAAGAGAAGAAACTAGAACACCCAAACCAGGTTTATGCAGCTCTGCAGAATGAGTTTCTTCACCAAAAGAATGCAAATATTGCCTCAAGAAAGAACTTCTAAGAACTTCACAAAACTAGTGCGATTCTCTCTTGAAAGTAACACTTATGATTGCTTGATTGATTGCCAAAAGATGTGTTTAAAATGTTCAAGCAATTTTGTTTATATAGAAGATTTTCCAAACTCATTGGTTTATTTAATTTGTTAAAATAATCTTTTAATCTGTTAAAAGTCTTGTTTTAATATGTTAAAACTTCTTTTAATCTGTTAAAATGTTCTTGATTATTTTCCAGATTTTTTTTAACTGATACGACAACGTTTATATCAATTAAAACTCTTTGTAAAAAATTCTTCAAATTGTTTTAATCGATCAAAAAAACTGCTAAAGGTTATCATAAAAACTTTCTACGTGATTTTAACTGATAACAATCTGTTTTAATCGATTAAAATATTTTGGAAAAAGTTCACTTAGTTATTTTAATCGATTGAATCTTATTTTAATCGATTAGAATTCTGCCAAAAGATTTCATAAAACTTTCTAAGTTATTTTAACTGATAACATACTTGTTTTAATCGATTAAAACATTCTGGAAAAATCTCTAAGTTGTTTTAATCGATTATTTCGCATTTGTATCGATTAAAATACTGACAGAACAACTTTTCAAACACTTCAAGTTATTTTAATCGATTATTTTGAGTTTGTATCGATTAAAAACCTGTCATAACACTTTTCAAAATATTCTAAGTCATTTTAATCGATTATATCAATTCTATATCAGTTAAAATACTGGCAGAAGGTTTTCAAATTTTCTTCTAATGAAAACAATCGATTATTTCGAAAACATATTAGTTAAAAACATGTTACAAAAGTGTTAAGAACATTTTAGCTGATAAAGCTCATATACTATTAGTTAAAATAGTTACTTAAAAAACCTTTTAACAAAATACTTTGTTTTTAACAGTTTAAACACGTTTTTAGAGGCATTTGCAAAATATTTCAAATGAAGAAACCTCATGCAGCAGAGATAAGAATGATTATACCTAAGAAGACTTACTAATCACTCTACCATTTTATCTAAATGACCTTTGACTGCAACATAGTAGCCTTTGACTTCATCAAATCAACAAGATCTTTATTCAAGTGATTCAATAAGATCTTCATCACTTTCATTTTGGATGTGTTAAAGGTTTAAAAATATTGAAAGGAGCATATGGGGAAGTAGGTAAGTTAGTTGGACAATATTTTTCAAATAGAGTTTTTCCTAAGGGGTTTTGAATATTTAACAAATCTCGATTTTGATGGATTTTGGATTGAATGAAAAAAGTCACACTCCTAAAGGTTGATTCTAACCTAAGAGGATCATAATATTTTTAATAAAAATTCTCGAACTTTAAAAGTTGAAGGTAGTGCTTATATTTACCTTTTTTAGCACTTGATTTATCCTACACCAAAAAGAAGGACGATTGGTCAATCTTTACTTTATTTCTCCAAAAGAATTATGCATGGAGGAGAAGAAATGATCCCACCACAAGAAAAAATTGAGTGTGCAAAAAAAATAACTTCAAATCATTTAGGATAAAATTTGTGTTTTTCCCAGAAAGAAACTCTAAAAAACTCCTCTTTGATGTTCGATTCATTGAACATGAAATCGTTATTGATGGTTCGATGAAATCAAGGAAGTTAGATTGATTGGATGAGATCGAATTGCTAACAAAAATACTAAGGGATGTATGAAAAAAATTTCACGTCCTTGAGTTGAAAACTAGTCACCAGTACATCCCACATAAGAAAATTACTCCAAACTTCTATCAACTCAGCTTGTAATCCTAGAGTAGACGTTGGGAATCTAGATTTCATCCAAGGACAACCTCTGATATTATCCAAACCGCTCCCCAATTTAGTGAATGGGGCAAGAAGGATGTCGAAATCCTTTTATTTCGCAACAATTTGAGGAAGGTCTTATATTGGGTGTCATTGGCTCATATTGTCCGACGATGTCGATCTACTAATTGAATACCCTCGAGGGGAAAAAGAGGGGTGGGGTGTGAAGCTGGAGGAAGTAGGGATTTGAAGATTGACATCAACCACAGTTGGATGAACCATAAAGATCCAAAAAGATTCTTTACAGATTAATGAGATCTCAGAGTATCTACAGCCTCAACAAAGGATCTATATACATGGGAGAGGAGGAGTTTGGCTAGGAAAATGGAGGGGAAATGGTGTGTAAAAGGTAACGATGTTGAAATAGTGGTGATAAATTTGGAATGAGCAGGGGTAGAAAACATGGGTACAAAGCCAGTACACAAAGAAAGCAATGTACTCTTCGACCATTACGATGACGCTTGGGTCATCAACGAAGTGCTCAGTCAAGACGTGGTCGTAGGCTTTCTTTTCCCACCAAATTCTGGCCTCGAGCTTGTTGCCGGAGGGACAAGCATATAAAAACTAAGTCTCTCCTATAGGTTTAAAACCTACCATAATGGTAACATCGAGGAGAATAGGGGTAACTGGACCACAAGACAACTCCAATGCATTGAGATCTTTATTCCATAAATGGATTGTAGGGAGGAACATAGACATATCGAAGTGTGATATGTTGTAGCGAGAGAGTTAGAAGACCGAAGATTCCAATCTTCTTCCAATGATTGTCGAAAGTGGCTTTAACTCTATTAAGCCACTTGAAGTAAGAAGGTTTCTTTTTGGTAGGAGGGCTAGTGTGATAAACCTTCAATGCCAAATTAATGAAATTTGTGTGAACCTCCCCTTCTTGAATAATAGAGTTTCCTTTTTTGGAAGATGGGAAATCAATGGTTGAGTCAACAGGGGAGGTGTTTATTGGACCTCTAAAAGCATATTGAACCCCCTATAGAGTAAAGGATAAGTACTTGAGTTTCATATATTCTTTTTTATTCTTCTTCCAAACCTAGTACTGGGGAAAAAGTCATGTCATTCAACTCGACGAAAGAAGAGCGAGTTACAGTTAAGTCAGTAATTTAAGGGTGAGAGTTTGAGGTAGCCTTGGTAAAAGAAGATGATATTGTAGTGAGGAGATAAGGAAGTAAGAATGGAGATAGAGTTCTTTGAGAAATTGCAGAGAGCATAGTGGATGTATGAGAGCGTAAAGAAATAAAGAAGAAGGGACATTCTTTATAAATTAAATGAGTTGAGAATGTCATTTCCTAGGAAAAATCAAACTTAAATTAATTGGGCTTTAGGTTTTGCCCATGTGTTAGGAAAATGATAACTTTGAGATTATTATTTTTGGAATGCATTTATTATGAAAATATTGCATTTATAAAGAGAAACGTAAGAAATAATGAGAGTATAGTAATATTCGTTGTTCAAATGATTTTTTAATAAGTAATCAAGGATGAACTTCTCTTCAAAAAAAGCAAAAGGTTATAAAGAGTTCGATTTCATACTAAGATAATGTTTACCTATTAAAATATGTTTTATATTATCTTAGGGGGATTTTGTTACACACCAGCTTATAAATGAATCAAGAGAATGAGTTAAAGAAATATCAAAACTTACAAATGGATAAAATAGTTAAATGAGAGAAACTTTTTTACATTATCTTTAATTTTATCTTTATTATTTTATCTTTCTCTTTTTTAGCAATTGCAAAATGTAATAAATATAATGAGATCAAATAAGTGAAAAATGGATGACAAAATTGAATTAAAAAACTTGTAATATGAAAATATTGTGAATAAGATAAATATTTTTCAATATAGAGTTCCTTACAATTTAGGTCACCACTATTATTAATTTTTTGTACTAGTTTCTATTATATATATTGGGTTTAATAAAAAAACATTGAAAAATTATTTTTCATGTATCAAATTATTTTTATTTATTTTTCATAATAAATAAATTGGCATGTTATTATACTCCTAATCAAAAACTAGTGCACGCCCAGTGGGACTCGAACCCACAATCGCTTGATTAGAAGTCAAGCGCCTTATCCATTAGGCCATGGGCGCTTGTGATATAAATCAATTATTGTTTTTGTTTACTCTAGCAAATTTACTCCATTTCCATATTTTTATAGTTCCTTCTTCTTATTGGCATCCCCAGTGGGACTGAAGCCCACAATCGCTTGATTAGAAGTCAAGCACCTTATTCATTAGGCCATGGGCACTTTTGATATAAATCATTGAACACTATGAATTTGTTTTTGTTTAGAGTAGCAAATATAATTTTTCAATTTAAATCATGTTTTGATTAAACCTAGGAAAATAATAATTCAACAATTAATATGAAATCATTTTTATAATGGACCTCTCACATATTAATTTAGTGAAGATATTTATAGAAGTAGTTTAGTTGTGAATTTGGGCATTAAGTACCAATTTATACATAATTTTGTTAATTTTATTAAACTTTATTAAAATAAACAATGGGAAAAAATATTTAAAAATAAAGAAAACAAAAAAAGAAGAAGCAAATATAAAATGCGAGGATAGAAATTAGTGAAAAGAGTAAATTGCTGTAAATTGTGTACACCTGGTATTTATAACTGCTCCTATTAATTCTTGAAGTTATAACGGTTTCACATCTTCTGTACTTTATAACTTTCTTTCTATATTGATTTTGTATTCATTTATTTTTTACCTTATCCTAACATTGGATCTTTTGATTTCCTCATTCTTTCTATTAGATTCAATATTCAATTATGGTGATCATCTTTTGTCTTTAATGTTTCAATCTTTAGTTCCTCTTCTCACCTTTATATTTACTTAATTCATTTTCAGAAAAACGTGTTTCGACAATAAAAAATATTATTAAATACTTGACCTAAGAGGTATTTATGTTCTTAGAGAAATATATCGATGTGAAATTAAATTATATTTAAAAAGAAGATTATTGAAACCCAATAATATTGTATTATATAAAATTAATAAAGTTGATAAAAACTTTCAAATATAATATCTTACAAAATTTATATTAAAAATTGTCCTATCGATCAATGTGAAATATCATTCAATTTAGAATTCAAGTTTAACTCCGTCAAACATCACATTAAAAAAAACATTGAAAAATCATTTAGAATTTAAATTTATAAATTTATAAAATTAAAGTTGGTTTAAAGGGATTAACATTATTTAACTTTATATTTTGCATTACAACTTATTTAGATTAATATTTTATAAAATTTCATTTCATTTATATTAATATTATATGATGTAATTTTAGTTAAAAGTATACTTTAAGATAATAATAAATAAAAAAGAAAACTTTACTGAAGGGTATATTTTAAAAATTAATTTTTAAGTAATTTTTTTAAATAACATATATATATATATATATATATATATATATATATATATATATATATATATATATATTAGTGTACAATAATCGTGAAAATCAACTTATGCTTAAACCAACTATTTAACATCCAACTTCTAAAAAAAAAACAAATCTCTTTAACTTTTTTGGATAACACTAGAGAGAATATCAATATTTCGATCCTAATAAAAAAAATGTTTTACTTAATTGTATTTTTTATTAGTCTGAACGTTATATCAATCATAATTGAAACCGATCTTTTAATCTTCCAATGTTACATTTATCTCGATAAAAATTCAGTTTATAATTAATAAATATTAACTTAAAACTATTTTAGAATAATTTATATATACTTAATAATTATATTTAAAAACTGTATGAAGTTTTTACCAATATCATATATTTATACCTATTAGGATAATAATTATGAATTTTTCTAGGTTTTGTAAAACAACAAAAATTTTATTTTGTACTTTATATATATATATATATATATATATATATATATATATATATATATATATATATATATATATATATATATATATTTTAAAGTAAAAAACTTTTAAATAGTTATATATATATATATATATATATATATATATATATATATATATATATAACTATTTAAAAGTTTTTTACTTTAAAAAATATTAGATTCCCCCCTCTTCGTGTCTCTCCCTCGATTTATCAAAAGAACAAATCAAGTTAAAGTAAGGAGACTTGAAGCACAAAAAAGGTCAACATTTGAACACACCCACAATTTTATATATTATCTAATAAGGTCTTACACTGGTAAATTTATAGCACATGACCAAATCATATATTTCCACACACAGAATATATACATGGTACAGAAAGAAGACACACACTACTATTGCTTAATTAATTGCATTAAGCATCAGACCAAGTGATTTGTAATCCACCCCACTGGTCATGAGGCACACCCAAAGCTTCCCACACAGCCTTTGATGCATCAACAATGTTGTTGGTACAAGGAGGTTGATAATCATGGTCTGCATCACACCCCATGGTGGAGTCACACTCATCAACTACCATGGCCTCCACACTCTTGCCATTGCCGTGTATGGTGATCTTCTTGTGGCACCTGCTCTTGTGGTTGAACCATCCAGTGGAGAGTGCAACTATTGGTGTGTCATCAGAATGGTACTGGTTGTCACATTCTGAAGGGCCACCCCCATCTCCATTCTTCTCGAAGCTGTTAAGGGTCAGATATGCCTTTGTGTGACAACTCGGGAACATTCATATGTGTTGAATCTTACGTTGGATCCTGGAAAAATTAAAATAAGAAGATCTGAGACACGTGAGAGGCACAAAGTTCTTGAGGATTCATCGACCAGATATGATGTTCTCCCAGGATATAATAGGTTCGTCCCAAACCACCATAGGGAGGTACGAGGTAACATTGAATTGTCAAAAAACGAAGAGTAGAATTAGAGGAGAAGAATCAACTTTTTCAATGGAAGGAAAACAATTTTTGTTTCTTATATAAATAATCAGATAGAATAGTCGTTATCAATCTGTGTGGTTTTTTTTATTTTAAATAAGCAACAGATAGTTAGTAGAGTAAAATCAGGAACCATTTATCAGATAATGGAGGTTAAGAGCAATCCCAAAAAATCTAGTTAGACTAAGTCAAAAATAATATCTTAAACTTTTGAAATAACTTAAAAAGTTAACAATCCCCCACATATTTTAAAAGTTTTAAAACAATTTTAAAAAGAAGAAAGTCCTGCTCTAAACCACTGACATGAATGTTAATGTGTCGAATCTGGTGTCTTTTGGACTATGAACCAGACCTAGATTGATAAGTCGTAACATACAAGTGAATCGGTGGAACGAGTTCCTATGAACCAAGACACTTTAGTGTATGCCAGAGATCTTACCAATCACATCACACCTTATAGTTTTTGTCGTTACCGCTGTGTTGTGCTGTAAGGCCATGCGCTCGCCTGGTATTTATGAGTGCTCTAGAGATTTTGCCTAAATCTCATGCAAGCGGTCCTACTTAACACTCAAATAGGTGATTTCATCAAGTGTATGCTGCACTTCATACACCACTCATAAGGGATATGAGAATCATTAAAAGCCTTTTTGGGCTTATCCTCTCCAGTATGCAGTCTAGCACCTCATACACCACAGAAAGGGACAAGTGAAATAGTGCTAGCAAGACTAACAACTCACTTGTTTTTACCCATATAAACCTTCTTCATGGGGTCTCCAATCACAAAGGTTGGGTTCCCATAATTGTTAGTATCAAAATGACTTTAGTCTCATTTCCCTCGATGTTTCATATATATACTTTCTACCCAAGGGTTTAGTCAGAGGATCGGCCAAATTCACTTCTGACTTTACATAAACAATGGAAATTATTTCATCTTTCAACAGTTGTTTCACCACGTTATGTCTTAACTGAATATGTCTACTCTTGCCATTGTAAGTCTTTTTTGCCTTGCAACAATTATAGCCGACTGGCTGTCACAATGAACATACACTGATGGTGTTGGTTTCATTCCTAAGGGAATATCTGCTAAAAAGTTTTTCAACTACTCAGTTTCGTTACCGGCCAATTCCAAAGCTATAAATTCAAATTCCATAATGGATCTGGCTATTATAGTCTATTTAGTCGATCTCCAAGTGATAGCACCACCACCAAGTGTAAAGATTTAACCACTAGTGGATTTTGTCTCATCCGAATCTGAGATCCAATTAGTGTAATATCTTAATTCTTAATACCTCTAAAATTTTTGTCAAAATTTTAATAATTAAATTATTAGGAATTGGGGAAAGTGACTATAGAGTTTTATGTTTGTTAGATTATTTGTGATTTTCTGAAAATTTTCTGGAATTAAAAAAATAATAATAAAATAATAATATATCTAAAAAATTAGATTTTGACTTTTAAAAAAAACATTCACTATGCAACTTCCCGTAAATTCTTCCTTTCTCTCATTTCTCGCTTTCTCTCAAACCTTCCTCACTTTGAAGTTTGATTTTGAGGGGAAAATATTGATTTTCTTGAGAAACTCCAAGAGGTAAGTTTGTTTCTCTCAATCTCCTCTACATTTCTACGGTTTTATTCTTCAAAATGGTGCATTTTCAAAAATTTTCCTTACTTGGCTAAGCTTGAATGGGAGTAGAAAGAGTGTTATTGTAGGTTTTACACCTAGGACACTAGAATAATACTTAGAATTGAGGATTAGAAGTGATTAAGCTAAAAATCTTAAGCACCCTAATTCGTAAGTCACTGTTCATTGAATTTTGGGACTTGTGTTAACAGAATTAGGAATTGGTATCTTCATAAAAAGTTGTAGCCCTTTAAGTTATCAAAATTTAGAAACTTTTTTCACATCAAAATGATATTTGTAGCTCAAGTTATGTCCATTTTACTGTCAAGTGTTATAACTGTGAAGTTAAGAGGTTGCCGTGTTTCAACAGCCTTGATTTTTGAATTACTGGGATTGATATGTGTGAAATTAGGACTTTATTCCTTCATAAAAGTTGTAGGAAATTATATTTCCGAAATTTAGAAATTTGTTTCATGTCAATAGTTTATGTGTAGCATGAGTTATAGTCAAATTACCAAGGCATGTTCAGAGTGTTATTGTAGTTGAGCCATGTTGGAAACAACCACTGTAAACTGAAAAACTGCATTTATTCTACAGGGTATTTGAATTTATTTCCTTCATCAATATTGTAGGTAATTAAGTTATTGAAATTTTGGCTCTGACCTCATGCCAAAACAGCTTATATAACTCTAGAAAATTATGAAATATTGAACCTTGTCCATATTTGTTATTAGGATTCTTCCTACTCTAAGTGTACTACTTCCATTACTCTCTTCCACTTGTATTACTTCCATTAGCATCAATTTAGGCCCTAGAAATGATTTTATAACTCAAAGAACCATAATCTTGAATTTTAGAATTTTAGGTTATGAAAGAGGTGAGATTTTAGAGGTCTAATATGATTGAAATTAAGGATTTTATTGGGGTATTTAATTGGCATGTAGGAGGCTACTTAGAGGTGCAAAGAGGAGACCCAAAGACTTGATAGATTATTTGATCAAAAGTTGCTCTTTACCAAGTTACAACATAAGGTAAGGGGTAGGATAATTTTTATAATTCACTTTTGCTTGAAATAGCATTGAGAAGAAGTCCATTTACTTCTAAGTTAATTAGAAATTTATTTGGAATTATTTGAATGTTATTTCTATTTTTGATGAATTTTTAAAGTTTTAAGATTATGTAAATTTTATGGTTTCTAAATGGAGCAACTTGAGTGTATGGAACATTGTATGATTATAAGGCATCCATGAATGTTGTTTGAATCGATTGCTTAATCATTAGTAATTTTATATGTTTATTGATGAATTTAGATTGAGAATTATCCTATTTCTATGTTTAGTATTATGATAATTGTTTTAAATTGATTATTGAGATATATTGTATGTATGTTATGAAGCATGATAAGTAGAAAATTATTGTGGAATGTTTTTGTTAAGAAGGATTAGCATGTAGAATTGCATTGTATAATTTGGTGGAATGGAGGAAAGGTGTGAGAAATGAACTATGTGAGAAAGAAAACTAATTTTTTAGATATATTAAATTAAATTTTATAATTTAATTATGAAGTGAATTTTTATATTTTTATTTAATTAATAAATATTTTTCAAAAGTATTGGAATAATTTTGATCTAGGAGAAAATAAGTAATTGTAAGTGAAAATGAATTTTTAATAATTTTGAGGAAATTATTTGCAATTATTATTATCATTTAAGAAAAATAAATTAAAATTGAGAAAATTATGATTTTGAGTGATGATGAATATGATGAGGTGGAAGGATGGTTTGGTGAAAAGTAGAAGTGTTCTGGGCTGTTTTTGGTTATTTTGCAGGTGTTAAAATTTTTTGGGAATGTCCAATTTACAGAGGAGATTCTGTCAGATTTTTTTTAAGAAATAGCCTAGTATTATTTTGAAGAAGTTAAGATATTATTGAAGTATAATGAGCTGAAACAAAGTTGAAAGAGTGTGAAGAAGTTATGATAAGTCATGCATCATGTTCATGAGTCAGAGATTGAGTGTATGAGGAGGATATGGAAAATCAGGGTCGATTCCATGCTAACCTCGGGGATGATTGAGTGTGATCGAGCTCATATGTGGCTTAGGCTCGCTACCTAAGCTATGAGACTATCACTACCAAGCTTGATTATCCTGACTAAAGCCCTAGGGTTTCTCATTATCAGTTGAGTTGGACACGTAATTATAAGTATACTACTGCAAGGCGGTGAGAGGTTTCAGTGAAACTCTTGATCCTTCTCGAAAAAAAAAAGAGAAAAGAGAAAGTGGTTTTGGGATCCCCATGGTCTTGCATACTAGGATGTGTCCTAGAAAAGATTAGTGCATACATTGCATTCATAATATCGTATCATTTGTGTGCTGATTACTAGTATGTTTGTATGTGTAATTTCTAATTAACTCAATATTATTTGCATGCTCTAAGTGAATATAAAGTTGTCTTACATTTTCTGTGCATGTATTGTTGTTATGAAATATTTGCATAGGTGACGTTGAACACAACTCATCCCTGGTATCATCTCCAAGTAAAGTTTAAATACGATCATTGCAAGTACTTAGTAAAGGACTTGATCGGATACCACTACAGTGCTACAAGAGATACTTCATTTTAGTGGACGTACGAAATATATCTCCTCTTTAGTTAGGTTGTATAGTTAGTTTGTCTGCTCTGGTCTTGTGAACCCTTGTTAGGTGTATTTTGGGATGACTTTGTGTATATTTACTATCTAGTTATATTTGATACTTATGAATGATATGTATATTAATCACTAAGTGTATGTTCTATTTAATGTGTACCTTACTTCTACAAGAGTGTATTGGTAATCAAATACTAAGAGGAACCAATACTAAATAATAAATCATAATAAAGTGAATGTTGGTATTAAAGGTGTCATAGTTAGCATCACTGTATCCTTCTAACACAGTGGGAAATCCACTATACATAATACCATAATCCATAGTACCTCTCAAGTATCTCATGAGTCTAACAAGTGCACCCCAATGATCCTTATTAGGATTCTGAGTGTATCTACTCAACCTGCCCACGACATAGGCAATGTCAGGTCGAGAGAAATTCATTAGATGTAACAAACTCCTAATAATTTGTGCATACTCAGACTGAGATATATGGTCACCTCAATTTTTCTTTAATTGAGTGTTTCCATCATAAGGGATACACACAGGCTTGTCATCAAAGTGTCCAAACTTTGTAAGAAGTTTTTCAACATAATGTTCTTAGGATAATATAATATTAGCACCCTTCCTTATGATTTTAACACCTAATATCACACTTGTTTCACCCATGTCTTTCATATCAAAGTTAAATGCAAGAAAAAGCTTAGACTTAATCACTACATCCAAGCACGTGCCAAATATAAGCATATCATCTACATACAAGCAAATGATAACACACTCACCATTTACAACTTTTGTGTAAACACATTTATCTACTTCAATAGTAGAAAAACCATCACCAATCAATGTCTGATTAAATTTCTCATACCACTGTTTTGGAGCTTGCTTTAAACCATATAAGGATTTGAAAAGTCTACAAACTTTATTTTCTTGACCAGAAACCATACATCCTTCAGGTTGAGACATATAAATTTCTTCTTCTAAATCACCATTTAGAAAAGTCGTTTTTACATCCATTTGATGTATAATCAATTTGTAAATATAGGTCAAGGCTATTAAAATTTGAATCGAAGAGATTCTAGTCACAGGAGCAAATGTATCAAAATAGTCAATATTTTGTTTTTGAGAAAAACCTTTCGCAACCAATATTGCTTTATATTTTTCAATAGAACCGTCAGGATTAAGTTTCCTTTTAAAAATCCATTTACAACCAATGGCTTTTGCTCCCATAGATAAATCAACTAAAATCCAAGTTTTATTTTTCGAAAGAGAATCAATTTCAATTTTAATAGCCTTGTTCCAAAATTCAGCATCAGAAGAAGAAACAACTTCATCAAAGGTTAAAGGATCATTTCTAATTAAGTAAGTATAAAAATAATTTCCAAAGGAAGTTTCTTTTCTTTGTCTTTTACTCCTTCTCAAATCCTCATATGAGTTCTCATTGTTATTTTGAATTTTTGCATGAAAAATAGATTCAGACTTCAACGGGAATACATATTCCAAGAACTTAGCATTTTTTGTTTCTAAAAATGTATTACAATCAAGCACATTACTTTTCAAGACAAGAAACTGATAGGCAGTACTATGCTCAACATAGCCAACAAACATACAATCGGAGGTCTTAGAGCCTATTTTCCTTTTTTTTGGGTCACGAAGCATAACCTTAGCTAGGCACCCCCACACTCTCAAATAACTTAAGTTAGGCTTATACCCTTTCCAAATTTCATAAGGAGTTTTACCGGTTTTCTTATGTGGGATCCTATTTTGCAAGAAACAGACAGTTAAAAGGGCTTCCCCCACAAGTTATCTGGTGCACCTGAACTAATGAGCATACTATTCATCATTTCTTTTAAGGTCCTATTTTTCCTTTCTGCTACCCCATTAGACTCAAGTGAATAAGGTGGAGTTACTTCATGTATTATGCCTTCTTTTTCACAATACTCATTAAATAAAATGTACTCACCACCCCTATCAGATCTGACTCTTGATTTTCTTATTCAATTGGTTTTCTACTTCGGCTTTATATAATAAAAACATATCAAACGCTTCATCTTTATGCCTAATTAGATAAACCTTAGTGTATCTCGAGCAATCATCAATGAACGTCACATAATATTTTTTACCTCCTCTTGTTACAGTTTGTTTTAAATCACCTAAACCAAAATGAATTAAATTATGGAGATCAGTTTCACGTTGAACAGGAAGACAAGATTTCTTGGTTAATTTAGATTCAATACAAACCGCGCATTTATCTTGACTTTCATTATCAATACCAGAAATCATACCATTTTGGCGCATATTCTTGATATAAGAAAAATTAACGTGTCCTAATCTAGCATGTCATATATCAAACGAATTAAGCATATAAGCAGAAGAGGAAACATTTTTATTAAAAACTTCAGAAACATTAAGAACAAAGAATCCCTGATCACAATATCCCTTGCCAACAAACACATTATTTTTTGTCATCACAATTTTGTTGGACTCAAAAGACACCTTAACCCCAACTCTTAACAACAAGGACACAGAAACCATATTGGCCCTAATATTAGGGACATGCAGTACATCATTCAAAGCCAAGGTCTTTCTTGATGTGAGTTTGAAAAGTACTTTTCCTTTCCCTTGAACTGGAGTAGTTTTGGAATCACCAAGATATATAAGTTATTCTCCTTCCCCTACAGAAATGATGTACGAGGTGAACATCTCTCTATTGGCACAAATGTGTCTGGTAGCCCGAGAGTCTACCACTCACTTGTTCACATCAGCCACAATATTAGCTTCAGAAATGACTGTTGCAATGATATCATCTTCCTCTACCAAATTTGCCTTTGGTTTGGGAGGATTGTTGTTTCTCGCACGGTATCGGCATTGGTATGCTTGATGACCTGGCTTTCCACAAACAAAGCAACGTCCTTTTTTTTTGAAGTCAGCATTGGGATTAGTAACCTTAGGGACAAAGTGATCAGAGTTTGACTTTATACCTTTTTTGTTAGCTTTGTTTTGAATAAGATTGGTTCGTGCTGCTAGAGCCTTTTCCCTGGCCACTTTGAGCTCCTTACGGTTGGTATCTTCAATGATAATATGGGTGATCTATCGGTGACAATTGCTTATGTTTGTGGGATGTGAGGATAAAAGTGGGATTGACTTTTGCTTGAGTGAAAATTGATATTTTTCATTTGAGTGAACGACGCATTTCCCAAATTTATTTTATATCATTATATAAATAAATTATAAAAATTATATTACTGTAATTAAATTACAAACTTATATAAAGAAATTCGCTCACAAATTTGGCATCAAATTTTGAAAACTCACTCGACACACACTTTCACCTTCGAGCGTGCCCTCACATCCAACATATATAAATATATAAATATATTTGTATTTATATATTTTATATTTATATATATATTTATTTGTAAGTTATTATCGAGAAAATTCTAATAGTTTAGTGATTGGAGTATCAACCTCCAATTTCAAAGGTACTAGCTTTGAATCCTACGAATGTCAATTCTCTTAAAAAATTAATTTGATAATGATTCAAAATTTTGCTCACAAATTTATTACTCATTACCCAATCTTTCCCTTATAAATCATTAAAATAATTTAAGTTTTTGTTCGGTAATTACTAAAACGATAATATTTTTAATTTATATATAAATTATTCTAAATATAATATAAAGGGAGACATCTAGATATTATTGTCAACAAATAAAAATTATCAATTTAAAAAATCACTTAAACAAACCTTAAAAATAATTTTAAAAACAAAATAATTTATTTGTTCAAAATTTCGCTCACAAATTTATTGCTCATTACCCAATCTTTCCCTTATAAATCATTAAAAAAAAAAAGTTTTTGTTCAGTAATTACTAAAACGGTAATATTTTTAATTTGTATATAAATTATTTTTAGAATGATTAAAAAAAACAACTCGCTTAAACAAACCTTAAAAATAATTTTAAAAACAAAATAATTTTAAAAACAAAATAATTTTAAAAACAAATTAATTTATTTGTTCAAAATTTCGCTCACAAATTTATTGCTCATTACTCAATCTTTCTCTTATAAATCATAAACAAAAAAATTAAAGTTTTTGTTCAGTAATTACTAAAACGGTGGAAAATAAGGAGTATTTTTAGTTTGAGTTAATTTTTTTGGGCTATCAAGCCAACAAAAAAAGTGGTGAAATTGATGTTGCCGTCTTCAATCACAAATTCCAATCACACCATTCCAACCGTATTCCGAATCCTTTGTAACATGTATTCGTTTTGCAGAAGGAACATCTTAAAATCTTCACTACATATGAACATCGATGGCTATGTTATTAACGTTGAAAACAAAAACAAAAAAATCATCTCTGAGCTACTAATTTAATAACTGAGTGTTACTGCATTTTTATGATTTCTTAGGTAGTTCATTTATTATCTAAAAATCACTCTTAACGGTTAATCACATAAATTATCTATTTTATATCAATCAAACATAAATCTAACTCACATACCTATCATTACTTTTAACTCAAAATAACATTAAGTTATAGGAATTATTTTCTTATATATTATTCTTATATATTGTTCAAGTTAGATAACTATTTTATACTTCCTGTTACTACGTACAATGCTAAAGTGGCAGAACTTGGTAATAATGTTTCACCTTAACCCTGTGTTTGTTTCCACTACTAATATATTGTTAACGAAGATAGAAGCACGAGGATGACACACGTTTGGTTGAACAAAAATACGACAAAATGAACGCGAGGAAAAGCGGGAGATGGGAGAAAGAGGTTCTTCGTTGATGCACGAAGAAAAGAGATGAAAGTCCCCTAGACAAATTGTGTCCAACTTACCCTCACTCTGCAAGATTAACTGGTGCATGCATGCAGATAAATTCTTAAAATCTCGCAAAATTGAGAAAATATAATTTATATTAATTACTATAATATAAAATATATATTCTAAAATATAACCTTTTCCACACTCCCATTTCCACTCTCTCAAATCACTCCAACCAAACAAAGCATAAATTCTTAATTACACTCATTGCTCTACAGAACAGGTTCACTGTTAGATGAATCAAATTTAATAAATAGGTAAAACTTAAACTAAGACGTAGGTGTGCAAAACAAATGTTAAATAATATAACAGATGCCATATCCTATGGTTCATAGACTATTTAAAGCCAAGTGACAAAAGAGAGGCCTTTGGCTTCAAACTTCATGTGTCACAACTTAACTTTATATTTTCCTCTCATTGCAACTTTCATCTCAAACTTTGACCAAATTTATTGTTGCAATAAAGCAAGGAAAGTTAATTTCCACGGCACGTACTCTATTTACTCACCACAGTTCAATATAGTATTGTGGAATGGAACCTTGCATTGGATCTTAGCACTGTAGTAGTGGTCCTTTTCTGGTAGAATACAGCAGTAATATAACATCTCTTTCTAAAATAAAGAAAAAAAAAACAAAGATTTAGAAGGAACATTACACCTATAAATTACCATCTAAAGCCACCCTTTTCACCACCAAGCACCCGGCAAAACATCAGAGAAAAAAGAGAAAATATACAAAATGAAGGTTACTACCTCAATAGCAGCATCCTTTGTTCTGCTACTCATTCTGATTTCAGCAAATTGTTTGTGTTGTGAAGCACAACAGTGTCGTCCTAGTGGCAGAATCATTGGAAAGAAGCCCCCACCAGGAGAATGCAACCAAGAGAATGATTCAGACTGTTGTGTCCAAGGCAAGAGTTACACAACATACAAATGTTCTCCAGCAGTGTCAAGCAACAACGAGGCCCAACTCACTCTCAACAGTTTTGAAAAGGGTGGAGATGGAGGAGGGCCTTCAGCATGTGACAACCAGTACCATTCTGATGACACACCAGTGGTTGCACTTTCCACTGGATGGTTTAACAATATGAGTAGGTGCCTCCATAACATTACCATCAGTGCAAATGGCAAAAGTGTTGTGGCCATGGTGGTGGACGAATGTGACTCTACCATGGGATGTGATGAAGATCATGATTATCAACCCCCTTGTCACAACAACATTGTTGATGCCTCCAAGGCTGTCTGGAAAGCCTTAGGTGTGCCTCAAAATCAATGGGGAGGACTGCAAATTACATGGGCTGATGCTTAATGTAATCTATAATAGTAGTACACGCCTATTTGTTGTGTTGCTTTTTCTAGTGTCATGGAAAAATAGTTATATGCATCGTAAATATATATATATATATATATATATATATATATATATATATATATATATATACACCCTTACATGTACTGTAATGTAATCCACTTAGTTCATTAGCCTTGTGAACAATATCATTTGTCCATCAAACTTAAGGTTTCATAAGTTTGTGAATGAAACGTATCAACTATTATTGAAATAAACACTTAATCGTTCCACCCGGTTACAAAAAAATCCAATAATCCACTATATTTCCATGTATATCACCCTCACCAAACATGAGAATATAAGATTGGGAAGAGATATCATAATGGTGCAGAGGAGAAGATAATTGTGAAACACGAGGGAAATAATTTTTAGAGGAAGATAGGTACCGAATTTTTCATATCTTTCCCAATTCAAAATCCTTCCATTATTGTTGTGTCTTCTTTCACAAGCTGCCATGTGTCCTGATGCTCTAACTAACTCTTGCGTCATTCGTTCCTTTCTTATACATGTTACATTACCCTCCTCATCACAAGGTTGAAATGAGGATAAGAACTTTGTATATCAGACAATTACTCCCGAGTAGCCTCTGAAGGGATTGTGCCAGCCCACTGAACAAATATTTGAGGCATTAAACCATGATCCTGCTGTAGCATTCAAGTCCCCAACACTGCTACAGGCTGCATTATGGGTCCAAACTCAATGGAAGGTAAGGGCAGAGGCAAATATTGTTGAGAATTACTGCCACGAAATTTCTTGAGCAGTGAAATGCGAAACATGGGATGTATTCGTGCTGAATCAGCAAGTTGGAGTTTGTATGCTACTAGACCGATTTTCTGGACAACTTTAAAGGTCCAAAGAACCGTAACCCAAGTTTAGCATGTTTTTTAGAGCTACCGAATGTTGCTTGTATGGCTGCAATTAATGCCAAATCACCATCTTGCAATTGTAACTCACCTTCTCTTATAATTTTGAGATTTGAACAAATGTTGTCTGAACTGAGTAAGCAATTGATCCCTCGCTTTCAAGGTTTCTTATAATGGAGGATCTCATGTTTGAGGTTCATATCGGACAACATATCAGGAAGGGTGACTAAAAATCGCTTGAAAAGGAGTCATCCCTAATCTGTGATGAAAGGAAGTATTGTACCAGAATTGACTTCATGGTAACATCGAGATCCTAGTTTTAGGATTATCATAGATAAAGTACCGTATGTACATCTCAATTGTTTTATTGAGGTTCTTCGTCTATTCGTCCGTTTGTGGAAGATAAGAACATGTTTCCAAAAGACACCCATAAATACTCTATCTCGAAACAATACATTTGGGAAACTTATGGATCTTGACAATGCTGGAAATAAATGCCTTCGCAATAGATTTGCTATTGAAATCTCATTTGATAGAAATAAAGTGGGCAAAATTTGAGAGTATGTTAATTATGACAAAAATAGTGGTAAAACCTTGTGACATAGTCAAATGAATAATAAAATCTATTATTATTTCTTCCCAAATTTAAAGAGGAATGGGCAATGGTTGCAATAGTCCAGCTGGAATTGTATTAATAGTTATAGCTTGTTGACAAACAAGTCACTAATTCAAAAAAATCCCTACATCCAAATCTAATTTACTATCTTTAAAATTTAAGTTTACAAATTACAATCAACTTTGCAGAAGAATTAGTAAACAGTAAACTAATTAAAAAGATAAACATCTCTCTAGAATCTCAATAGAGATGAACACCTCCTTTTAACAAATCAAACAATGAAAACACATCTCTCAAGAATCTCACTTGAGATGAACACCTCTCCTGAACAAATCAAAGGATGAAAACACATCTCTCAAGAATCTCACTTGAGATGAACACCTCCTTTGAACAAATCAAAAGATGAACACCTACTCTAAACAAATCAAAGGATAAACAGTTCCTACAAAGGAAACCATAAATATAAGAATTTTGATAAGAACAATCACACCTGATAATGAAGACAACAAATTGTAGAAACCTGTAGAATGATAGTTTCAAGCACAAGTGTGATTAACAATGAAAGCACCGAAGGTAATACAGAAAAGATTTTCTCAGAAAAGTGTAAAATGACTCTGTTGCCTTGCTTAGAATGATTTTCTCAAAATTGATTGTGTATTCAAATTTTTGTATTCAAGTTATGTATTTTGATTTTTCATCAAAGTTCATTTATATAGGAAAATAGCATTGAATATGTTAGAATAAAAATCAAAAATAGTCGTTGCTTAGTAATTAATTTGTAGAGAAAAATCAGGATGTTTTCAACCGCTATTATTCTTCAAAAATGGATATATTTTTCAATTTCGAAGTGTCATAATCAATTATGTGACTTACATAATCGATTATGACAGAGGCAAAATCAATTTTTCATTTCTGATGCATCATAATCGATTATGATACTTATATAATCGATTATAATAGTTATATAATCGATTATGATACTAATATAATCGATTATTACAATGAGCTTTCGAAAACAATTGTTTCATTTGCTGACATAATCGATTATGAACCTCTCATAATCGATTATGACACTTCAAAAAATAATAATACAGAATTGTTTCACACTTGTGTTTTGGAGGCTTATGCACAATACTACTTCATAAACTTGTACCTTCATACCCAGTGTTCTAAGACTCTATCTAGTCTTTGGGCTTGCTTGAGTCTTGATTAGTGTTGACTTGAAATCTTTATCAAAATCATCTCCTTCAGAATGTAGGAAAATATTTCGCATTGCTATCAATCTCCCCCATAGTGCTTTCATCAAATTTCTTAATTTTTCATGATGTTCTTTTCGTTCTCAAGTTTCATGTAAATCTGGTTTTTGTTTAAAAATTGATCCAAATCTTGCATTGTCATCTCATTTTTTAATCTAACTCTTATGTTTTTTGCAGCAAACCTCTGAGAGAATGATTGGTTTGGCTAGCTTGCACCAAGTATTGTATGTGCTAAATCTATTTCACTCTTATCATAATCATCATCATGTTTCTGCTCATATCACTACTACCAAACCCAAAGATGTTTCTCTTTGGCATCATAGATTAAGTCATGTCTCTGACTTTATTTTTCATATTATTTCCCAATAATATCACTTTCCCTTATCCTGCAAATCCCTCTCCTTGTGACATTTGTCATTTTGCTAAACAATGCAAATTGTCTCATCATAGTGAAACACAGTCATATAAAATTTTTAACATTATTCATGGAGACATATGGGAATCATATTTTATACCTTCTAATTGCGGTTACAAATATTTTCTCACTTTAGTTGATGATTACTTACGTTTTACCTTAATTAAATTTATCAAATCCAAAAATCCACACATATTTAATACATTTCATTTCATTGATTGAAATTCAATTTCATACTAAACTCAAATGTTTTCGAAATGACAACGAAGTAGAATTTTTATTAACTATTTTTTTTTCATTCAAATATATTATTCATCAAAGAACCTGTGCAATAATTTTTTAAGCCAATATTGAGAACAAAGAAACCCAAAGTGATGAGTCTAAATTCCAAAGGCTTTGATTTTGGTCACCTATGTGTTATCTTCTCTTTTCATCATATGTTTTTACTATTTTCTACAAAATTATCTTGAATGACATTTTCCTTCTGCTAACTTTCTGTGAAGAGATTCTCTTATTTAGTGTGGATAAAAAGTGAATGTGATTCATAATCTCTATATAATGTTAATTAGTTGATGAGACAATGAAATGTAAATTACTTGATGAGATGAAATGAGAGAAATTATAGAAGATAAAGAGGACTTAAAAGGAAGATAATGATTTCAAAAGAATCTTTTACAGTATCATTAAAGAGAAGAAGAAATTAAGGAACATAATTTAAGAAGGAAAAAAGAATTTCATTTTAAAATATGTTGAAAATTTTTAAAAACTTATAAGTTTCTAATATATTATAGATCAAGTTAAATCTCATTCTTGATAATTTTAAGTTAGTCCATATACTTAACCACCTAATTGATGCAATGCACATTGAAATTACAACTCTTTTTTCTCTTTTCTTTTAATAGTTCAAGCATCTTGTTATACAATAATTATTGTTTGGCTGAATTTCTTCCAAAAATTGATAGATTATTCCCATCTTAGAGAGGATTGCATCACCATGCAACATAATTTGACTCTCTTGTAACACTTCAAAGGATTTCATATGTATGATCTAGACGTGGTAGTTGATGTAGGGAAGGTGTCCATATCATGGATGGTGCAAGGGTCACTTTCTAGACAAAACAAAAGGCGTTGCATGATACATCATGCATCGTAGACTAGGAGTCTAGGAAAGCAATTGAATGCAATGCCACGCACGTATAAATTCAGAGTTTAGGCAAACATCACTTCACTGGAAACCAAATCAACCACGGCAAACACCATAACCCAACAATAACATCTGTGCAACGCCATCCATTACAACCAAGCCCTTCTTCCTTTTTGCTGGTGATAATTTCTTGAGATTTAAGAATAAGTTAGAGGCACTTTTGAAACATAAAAAAATTAAGTCATAAATAAAAAAGATACACAAACTTATCATGTTATGATTTTAGATTAAGAATTAACTTATATTCTTTTATATGATTATAACCAATCTAATATTACCCTTTTTCAAAACCCGGTAGTTTTTAACAATAACAAAGGTTTGAACTCTTGAGTAGGGCTAGAGTTAGAAACTACATGTTCAAACGCTATATATACCCTATACAGGCTTCAATTTAATTCTGCATATTAGAGGGTGGAATTATGCAGTAATGCAACTGCAAACGTTGGTGTTTCAAGGGACTTGATAGTAACAACCTAGTTGACTGTTTGTTTCAAGGGATTCAGAGACCAATCCAATAACAACCAGCCAAGTTCCTACAAGGACAAAAGCCAATAGAGTCCAAAGACTTTCATAAAATCCAAGTTTCAAAGGGTAACACTTGGAT